TCCGGCGATCCTTTCCTGTGGACATTCTTTCTGCAGAGAATGCATCACACTTTCTCTGAAATCACTGAATCAGTGTCCACAGTGTAGGAAGACTGTTCCTACAGACCGGATGGATTTCACAACGAATCACATCTTAAAAAATCTTTCTGAAAAAGCAAAACAAGACAAGAAATCTGGGAAACAGTCTGAGGTAAGGTTTTCATTATTTATGATTTTTAATAGCCAACGATGCAGTTAACCAGAGGCTAGAGGTACATGTTTGTGACTGTTGATTGTTTTATTGACTTAAAGGCTCCTGTGGGGTTTTGCTCTGAACACGACGAAAGGCTGAAGTTGTTCTGCGTCACCGATCAGCAGCTAACGTGTATCATATGCAGGGATTGTAAAAAACATCAAGGACACAGGTTTAAACCAGTCAAAGAAGCTGCTGCATCGATCAGAAAGGAGGTAGAGGCATTTTTGGGAAAAGATTTCCATGATTTCAGCAAGATAGAAAATCTTGCCAAGTCACAGAATGAAGAAATAAGAAAAACCAAAGAAAAGTCTCAGCAGCTGAGGACCCAGATCAGTGGTCAGTTCCAGGAGATGCACCAGTTCCTGAGAAGGAGAGAAGAGGAAATAATGAATGAACTAAATCAAAAAGAGGCTGATGAGCTTAAGAAGATGAGGGACGGGTTGGAGCTGGGGGAAAAGATGAAAGCTATACTGGAGATTACAGAGCCTGAGATTTTACTGAAGTGTTGGTCAGAGGGCAACAGTATGAAAGCTCAAAATCCCTTAAATCTCCAGGTGGTGAATTCGTCTCTGTCAATGGGACTCTATGAGAGCCACCTTCAGTTCTTCATGTGGAAAGAAATGCTTCAGGTGATCCAGCCTAAGGTAGAGAAGCTTTCATTCAAGAGAAAAGATCCACCTGTTTGGGGACAACAAGGCTGTAGCTACAATCAGTCAAGTGGTTTTGGACAAAGGTATTCTCCATGTACATGTCATGATAACTTTAATAACTTACTGTGTCAATACCAGACATACTGTAACCCAGGTCAAAACAACTACGACCTTAGAATAGATAAGATAGAGCCAGGGCCAAATTACTGGGAGATAGATGTTAAGGATAAGAAAAGTTGGACTGTATATATACAAAATCATTCTTTGACATTTAAAAATGAACGATACACCAAAACAACTAATAATAGAATTGAGTACCTGAACTTTGAAAATAGACCTGAAACAATTGGCATTTATTTTAACAGCATCACCAATCAGCTTCAGTTCTTTGATGTAGACAATATGAAACACTTTTAAGGCATTAACAGCCGTGCAAGAGTAGGATATAATCTCCTCATGCAAGAGCCTTACCACCAAAAGCAAACATTCAAACAATATTTATGGTGACACACTAGTGCTTTAGGGGTCAGTTGTAGTTTCACATAGAGCCAGGCTGGTTTGGAGAGATTGTTTTTCATTAAAGAGCAAAACATGTAAAAATGCATTATGTATAAATAAAGCTTAAATTTTCCTATTAAGGTTTGCGTCGACGTTAAGATGAAAAGAACTCTGTTAGCAGGCAAATGAAATAAAATAAAATGTAAATTTCTTTTCTCAATCTTTCATTTTTATTTTTTCTGTGGTTTTGTGATGATCTGGAGTTAAAATTAATGCATGCTTTGCCTCAGCTTTGCTGTAAATAAATAGTGAGTCCTTTGATTTTTTTAATTCCTATGGAAAAGTCTTCCTCTGAAATATCACATAAAATAATTTGTTATTAATCTCTATTTGTTGCTGTTGTAAGAATGTGGAATTAAAACATTAAATCAAATCTAAACTTTTGTCATGAAATCTTTCAATTCCTGAGGAAAGTAAATCAATAAATGTCTTCATTCATTCAGTCGTTCACATTGTGGAAAAGATATTAAACAGGAATGATAATGTCAAAAAGGGGACAGATGGACCCAGTATTCAACGTGAGACAGACAGTGGGAAAATTCTAAAAGTTTATTTAACTAAAACAACAGGAAGCGCTGAGCTGTGGATCAGCTGACCACATCAACTGCGGGGGGTGGGGGTGTGTGAAGTGTTGTGCAAAATAATATCCTGCAGATAATGAATAGATGATTAACTAGAACTGGAGTTATAGTTAATTATTTAACCTTTTCAAAATCAAAGGTAAAATCAGTTTAGCGTTCTTAGTTAGACAATTGTAGCTTTGGATAATTTACTTACCGGGTTGCGGATTCACCTCTGAGGGTTCCTGGACCGGCTGTTAAAATCCAGGTATCCACACCAATCTAGTGACCCAGGTTAAGTGGCCAGCAGAGCTATTTATTATTAATAAATAACCTCTTATCTCTGTTTATTCGCACTGTTACCAAAAAGGGGGGTGGATCTGACCTGAATGATAAATCCTCTGCTATATGAAAAACAGAACCACTACAAGTTAACCAATGATGTCTTTATTCTAATAATTCAGGATTCAAGAATATCTAACATCTATGCAAACACTACACGCTACTAGAAAAATAAACACGAGGTAGATTAAAGGACTAGTTTAAAGAAATCGAAGATAAAGAATAAAATAAAATAGAAAAAAAAAAGAATAAAACCCTAAGAGTCTGTTTACTGGCTTCTGAGATTGTCCAAAATATGCCAGATGTTAATACTGTCATGATCTTGGCGCTGATGGTTTGGTTTTTTCCTTTGCTTCTTACTCCCTGTCTAATTGGTTCTGCGGCTGATTATCACCAATCATTTTCACCTGGTTCCTCTACTATTTAGGCTGTGTGTTTACCTCCCATCAGCGCCAGGTTATTCGTGTGTTTTGGTGAGACGTTCCTTAGCTTTCTTTAGTCTGTCTGTTTTCCTGATTATGACCAGTTTTCTGCCCTGAGGATCTTGAGTTTTGCCTTGCCCGCGTCTGCTCTGTTTGTCGCATCTGATCCTGGATTCTACCGGCTTCTGAACCTGGAACTGTCTTCTGACTTCGGCCTTGGATTTCCCTTCTGGACTGCTGCTCGGCGTCTGCTGCTCGCTCTCTAGGTTCTCTGGGGGCGTCGCCCGCCGCAACTGCGGTCAAACCTCTGCGAACGGACTGAACTTTGAATCAGTTCAGTGACTTTGCTCAAAGTCATTTTCAGCTCCACATCCAGTCACTGATCTGTATTCTCCCATCCCTACAGAGAGCAGCCCCACAGCAGACGAGCAGCCCCGCTCACCTGTTTGTTAATAAACGCTTTGAACTTTCCCACTGCCTGTCTCGCCTTGAATTCTGGGTCCTACATTCTGAGATCATTACAAATACATTCACTAATGTCTGTTGGAATAGCAGCAGGTATGATAATAACAGTGCAATTAATAAACATAAAATTAATACATCCAGCTTAAATTGGTAAATGATTAAAATGCATTAACAAAGCGCAGCAGAATTGTTTTTTTGTTTTTTTTGTTACACTGTCCTGTCTGGCAATGTGGCAATAAGAATAATTGTCTTGATGCCAAAAAGAGCCCAACAGATTTTACTTTCACAAGTGTAGCAGTACCGCAATTGCCATACTGCTCCACTGGTTTCATGCATATAAATTGCTTTATTATAATTATGCAGGGAGTTTTACAGTTCATATGGACACTGCAATGTAAATAGAGCAGAAAAACAGAAGAAGAAAAAGGGAAAAAAGAAAAAAAGAGAAAAGATGAAAGAAAGAGGAGATAGAAAGGAGATAATGACAAAAACACAATTGAGATTGTGTCCTGGGTATCTGGATAGACGACAAATTGTCTTTCACAACACATTTGAATAATATGTTAAATAAGGTGAAAGCCCTGCTCGGCTTTTACTACAGACTAAAATCCTCTTTGATTCCCTCAGTGAGGAAAAGACTTGTTTAGACCTCCTTCCTTCCTGTTCTGGACTATGGAGACATCATATATATGAATGCTGCCTCCTCAGCTCTCCACTCTCTGGACATAGTTTATCACAGTGCTTTACGTTTCATCACCAACTCTGCCTTCAGGACTCATCATTGTGAACTGTATGCTCTGGTTTCATGGCCCTCTCTAAGCCTCAGAAGGCAACATCATTGGCTTACTTTTATTTACATGGCCATCCTGGGTAAACTCCCTCCATACCTGTGTCACCTCATGTCTGTAGCTAACAGTGGTTACAACTCACGCTCTTCAAGTTGTGTTCTTTACATTATTCCCAGGATCAACACAGATCTTGGCAAAACCATGGTCGTGGCACAATATTCAAAACTCCCTGCAATTACGGACTCTTATTCCACTACAGCATTTTAAATCACTATTGAAAACTGCTTGCACAGAGAATTGTAACTGTTATTCTAGAGTCTAGTTTATGATTGATTTTATTATGTTGTCCTGTGTTCTTATATGTCTTACTGTACTGCTGCCTCTTGGCCAGGTCTCGCTCGAAAAAGAGATTTTATCTCAAGGGACTTCCTGGTAAAATAAAGGTAAAAAATATATATATACATAAAAAAGACATCCCCGAGGAAGCCCTCCCGCCACCGCCATGCCTGCGCCCCGGGGAGCCGCGGGGACGAGTCCGCGGGCTCCGCCGGCAGCCGGCCACCCTGAAGTAGGGCCGGGCACCGAACACCGGCCCCCCCACGGCACCGACCGAAATGCCCCGGCTCCACAGAGCACCAAAACACGCCCCGTCCCCCGGCACCAAGCCTCGGTGACCGGCTGCAACATCCAACGCGACCGCGCCACACAGGAAAAACACACTGGCCGCCACGCCCACAGCCAGGGCCTATGCGCATCCTGCCGGCCACGAGAGCCGCAGAAACCCCCAAAACACCCCCCAGGCCAGGCCCACCAAGACCGATGCCAACAGTGCGCAACGCAACACACCGTGCACAAAAACAACCCAAGAGCAGAAAGCCGCTCGGCGCCCGACCGCAAGAAGAGCAGACCGCAGCAGGCGCAACCACCCCTCCCCAGCAGCCTGCGGGCAGCGCAAAGCCAGAGCGGAGCGAACCACGCCGCTCCCACACCGCACGCAGCAAGAGCAGCACAATCGTGCCCGCACCAGCCTCCGACACGCGGCCGAGGCGGAGCCACCTCACCCTCCACCCACCCCGCAGCCACACCCGCTGCGATCAGCGGGAACAAAGCAGCTCCACCATGCCTCCAAGTTGGAAAATCCACCCGAAAACCCAATCA